TTTTTTGTCCACCCTAAAAAAAGAAGCTGGATCCGCCCCTGATCATGTAGTTGGAAAATTATTCATTGACCAATAAGAATGGATACTAATAATTCAAAACTTTTTTTATTGCTTTTGAGATAATTTGCATTTCAAGTGGTTTTAATTTATGCTGAAAATAATTTATACTGAAAATGTGTAATAAAAATATTACACTGCAAAAGAATCATTTATATGATTCCACAAAAATGATAAAAATATTATTTGCAATAAATTAATTACTGTGCAATTTTAGCATTTATTAAGCAAACTCGGTATAATTAACTGCTTTGAAAACCGTGTAGTTTCCTTGACGAGAACAAATCTTAAGGAATACAAATTAATTTTGTTTGAATAATTCAAAAAATAACAAAAAAAACCCCTCGCAGTCTTTGACCACACGTGGAAATAGTAGCAATGAGCTGTAGTGCCAGCTATACAGCGTCAAAACTTTAGTAGAGGGACCCCACACGGTCTCTATCTTCCAATCACTTAATGACACATCAGCAATTTGAAAACTTTTGATTTGAATTGACCAATCCAATATCTCGTTACTCGTGCCACGGCGGCTTCTCAGTTCTTGGCGACTTTCTTTTATTAAAATAAAAATTATTAAATTTATCCAAGTTTGTCAGAATATTATAATTCATATTTCAGCTATAAATATAATATAAAAATTATTTTATTAGCCATATACCATATTTTTAATATTTTTTTTGGAAAAATAAAAAAGTGTCAAAAAATAACCCAATTCGGCAATCCAATCTAAAAATTCGGATTTACGTTAACTCAGTTAATTTTCAAGTCAGGTTCACATGGTAAATTTTGACCCAATTAATTTTTAGATCGAATTCGGGTTGACCTGAAAAATTCAAAATTAACCTAATTATAATTCATGTTTGAATTAAAAGGGAGGTGCTCAAGTTAAAATAAATATTTTCCGAGTTAGACGAGTTATATTGCATTACATATTTACATGGGTCCAAAAAAAATGCAAGATTCAAATTGATCAAAGGGTCAGGTTTAGGTTAGTCAAGTTGGGTTTAACTGTGTCAGATCATATTTTGAACTAGTTGATAAGCAAGTCATGTTCGAAACTAACATATTCAGATCGGATCAAATCCAACCTGAATTGACACCCTAAAAAATCAAATATTCTACTTATTTTAAAATAAGCTTATGACTAAAAATTTCGTCTTAGTTAAATTTAAATGAAAATATTCTGATTTAATTCATTTAAATAAAAAGAAAATTGAATTTAAATTTGGTAATAAAACAATTGCCAATTTTGATAAAGTCTTTGCACTAAATTAAAGACTTTTTCAAAAAAGTCAGTGAGCATTTAATAGTTTTAGGGTTTGGCCCATATTTTTGTGTAGGTCATTACTTTAGCTATAATAATTATTTCATGACTTATGTATGACTTAGGTAAAATGCCTTCAATGTCCAACAGATTTGTAGATAATAAATGTAACACTAATTATGACATTCTAAGCTTCTATTATTAATAATTATTTTCATATATATATGTGTGATCTTTGTATCATTCGCACCTCTTTTTGTTCTGTTGATTGAAAGATTTAGTTGTCAACTAAGAGGTTTTGGATTCGAGTATTGCATATGTGATGTGTGTTTGAGTCTATCTTAATTGACCTAAATGTGAACCCCCGCCCCTGGGCGCAAAAAAAAAAAAAAAAAATCATTTGTATTTCACTAAAACAGCATCAAGCCTTTGACCCACTACGTGGGGATAGCTATATGAATCATTAGTCTCCATTTTGTTCTATTAAGAATCAAATTTTTATTTAAATCTAATAAAAAAATATCATTTCTAATACTTTATAACCATTTTTTTTTTCTACATCTGTCTTTCTTAACAAAAAACATATTTAATACATCTACTCTCTTAATCAAGTCATCAGAAGGCTGACATTTTATGTGTATCTTATGTGTTTCACTATGATAAAAAATGATTGTAAATCTATCTCTCTCTCCCCCTTGTAAAGGTTACAATTCTTATTATCATCATAACTCCGACATTGGTTTTGTCACCATTTGCACATCACCCAATCGCAGTTGAGCCACTATTCATCACTCTCCATGTTTCATAACAATATGCCTCTATATCTTTGCTTGCCCTTCTCTCTTTTACTTATAGGAGCCCGTATGCAAAGGCTTTAACTGGTATAGTACTACAACGTGAGCTCACATTGTCAGGAGAAGACATTGATGAACCCAAAGATGATCCAACGAGATTCATTAATAGAGTGTTAGAGTGCTAGATAATGCCAATAATGAAGCTTGTGTGTTAAATAGATAAATCCTAATTTTTCAGCTATATATATATATATATATATTGTTGCGAGCTACTCAGCGTTGTATGGCCGGATATCTAGCACACAAACAGGAGAGAATTAGAAACACCAGGATTTTTACGTGGAAACCCTAGAAAGGGAAAAAATCACAGGGCCACGCCAAATTGAAAAAGTTCCACTAGTGTAAGAGGCTGAATCATCCGCAAAAGTTAGGATGATCAGATTACAATGAATCACTTCTGAATTAAAATTCAATTACAATGTCAGACATAGTTCCGGCGTCACTTGAAGATCGAGCAGAATTCTGGGAAGAATTCCAGCGTCGTTCGAAAGTTTGGCAAAATTCCGGCGTCAGGCAGAACTCTGGCGTCACTTGAGCATCGGGCAGAACTCCAGCGTCATTCGGAAGTCAGGCAGAATTTCAGTGTCGGGTAGAACTCTGGCGTCACTTGGGCGTCATGCTGAACTCTGGCGGTGGTTGAGGAGTTCTTCCCTCCTACCCTTCTCTTCTTCTACTCTTCTTCTCTCTTGGGGTCCCCTCTCAAGAGAACTGAGGGGGTATTTATAGTTTTTGAGAATGGCATGGCTAGTAAATAGGAGGAGAATCAAGGGCAAATGTGGAGTGGTTCGGTGGACGGTCGATATTGAGTCCCTTGATCGTGTACCGTTCGTCAGACATTTAAAGGTTTTAATGATGTCAGAATTCGGTGATCTTGGGCTTGTTGGATTTGTCTCATTGAGCCGCTCGATTCGACTATAAGTACGACATGTTTCGAATCCGTTTGGTAACTCAAATTATGGTTCGAACTTTTCAATAGCATTTTGGGTGCTTGATCTGGACTCATCTGGGCTCAGATTGAGTCGAATTTAGTGTCGTTTGGTTGGTATTTCCGAGACGCTTAGTTTAACTGTAAGTTTACTGAAATCAGAGTTCAGGTGATCCCGAATTTAATTTTTGAAATTTCCGGCTTAATTTTGCCTCGAGATTCGTTCCCGATCAAGATAATTTTTTTGAGGATATATATATATATATATATATATCCCCATTGAATCAAGATATTTTAGATGAAAATAAATATTTTTAAGACTTTAAGGAATTAAATCAAATATATTATGTAATATATGTTATCCTTAATTTTTTATTGTGATGGCTAGAATTTTCTTATTTTTTATCAAATATCATAGATGTTATAGTTAATAAGTTTTTTTTTTTTAATAAAATAGGTTAATGAATCAGGTTCATATCATTCAGGTTACAACACAGTTGGGTTCGAGTTTGTATTTTTGACCAGTTTATTAAACTGGTCTGGTTCGAATTTATTGGATTCAAGTCAAGTCAATTTCAGATCGAACTCAAACTCTGCCCATCAACCGGTTTTGACAACCCAACCTTATAAGGTGGAAAATTTATTTTGTGTGGAGGATGAACACAGTTGGGAGATCAACCAAAATGCGTCACGTCACCTCCTGCTCGGTACTGCTCGGTACCACAACTCGGTACCGCTTGGTACCCGGCTCTATACCATTGCCGTGATGCATTCTAGTTGATCTCAAAATAAACTACATTCAGTGTATGCACAGAATAATTTCTCTATGAGATCGATGGGCCACCCAAGGAGAAATAAGTAGATAAATAAATATTACATAATAATATTATATACTAAAAGGAATCTATTTCTTTTCACATTTGTGTGGGCCACTCCTCCTTCGAGGAAACTGCCAGAATTACTTGTTGACTCACTAATTATCCGCACGTTTACCTTTCCCTCGTCTTCCACTATACATATTAAAGCCACTGAAGAGCTTTCATGATCGCTTGTCCAGTTCTTCACAGCCTCGTCTTGCAGAGCAAAAAAGAAGAAGAAGAAGCAAACAGAGAAGAAAGAAACTAATCTGTCAACTATTTTAAATCAAAATGGTGAGAGCTCCTTGCTGTGAGAAGATGGGTCTTAAGAAGGGGCCATGGACTGCAGAGGAAGATCAGATTCTGATCTCTTATATACAAAGCCATGGCCATGGAAACTGGAGAGCTCTCCCCAAACTAGCTGGTAACTATTTCTCTTCTTCTTCTTCTTCTTCTTTCCTTTTCTTTTCATTCGAAGATCAGAAAATTATAATTTGTGTTTCTTTTATAGGCCTTTTGAGGTGTGGGAAGAGTTGCAGACTTCGGTGGACGAATTATCTCAGACCTGATATTAAAAGAGGGAACTTTACCAGAGAAGAAGAGGATGCCATCATTACTTTACATCAAATGCTTGGAAACAGGTAAATATCACCTCTCTATTCATAAAGATAGACACTTTATAAGAAAAAATTATATTTTTTTATTAAATATATCTTCTCTCACTTAATAAAGTTCATCTTGCCACTGACCCCTAGTTGAATAATGACATGTTCAAAAAAACTGTTTCTTTTCTCTGTGCTATTACTGTTATATTACCTTATTAATTACATCAATCTCAAAGCTGCGTAACATTTTATCAATTTTGAATCAGAAAATTTTTTTAAGAATCAAATACGTTGAAATTTATTGACAATATTGTTCTATGAAAAACTTCATTGATCAATAGCTTTTCTCATGATTTTTTCTTTTATGATATGTCTTTTCAGATGGTCTGCAATTGCTGCAAAGCTACCAGGTAGAACTGACAATGAGATAAAAAACGTGTGGCACACTCACCTGAAGAAAAGATTGAAGACTGGTACTGAAACAACGCAAGAATCAGCGAGAAAGAACCAAATAGAATCGAAGGAAGAGAAACCAACGCAATCATTCAGCAGTACTGATGTCTCCTGCTCGGGCAATACTGAATCATCAACCTCTAGTACTTTAGAAAACAGCCAGAACTCCATGGACTCATCACTGAATCATGAATTCCAAGAAATTGATGAGAGTTTTTGGACTGAAACACTGCAAATGGATGGTAATGCGGAGCAAAACTCAATGGATTCAATGGAGTTAATGGAAGAAGGATTTTCCTCGGAATTCAGTGATGAGACATTCTTGTTCTCAGCTGGTTCAAGCGATGAGGACGATATGAGTTACTGGTTGAGGATCTTTTTGCAAGCTGAAGAATTGCCTGAAATTTGAAGGACCCATTTAAATTTTGAATTTTTACGAGAAAAATAGAAATTTAAAAAATTATTTTAGGTATTATTAACTTCTTTTAGTTCAACAATATCTGCATCTTATAATTTATTCACTCTATTCGATAGCAAAATATTTCAAAAAGTAGAAAGAAAACTGTAACCAAATAGAAGCATAGAATGATCTATCAAGTAACTATTCAAAAGACACTCCAAATAAATCTTCGGATCTGTTTATGTAATTATGGATTTTGTGATCAAATGATACTGATTTATTGCTTTAGAAGAGTTGAGCTCTATGTAATGAAACTATGAAAGTTCAAAAAAGTGGCCGTTAGTGCTTGGTGCACTATAAAAAGTTGAAATTGAATTACACTGTGAAGACAAAAAAGCCGCCTGTTAGCCGCGTTTTATTATTATATATTTTTTTTATTTGTTACTTCATCTCTTGTCAAGTTAGTTTTTTTTTTTTCCTATCTTATCCTTTCGTTTAAAGTAATTTCATCTTTGTCTTAGGGCTCATTTAATTACTCAAAGATATTGGCTTTTTGTTTTATAAATGACAAACATTAAACATATAATATATGACTAGAATTAAAAAATAATTTTTTCCTTTAATCTGTAGGCAGCAAATCTTTTCACACTTCAACTTAGAAAATAAAATTTAAAATATAATGAGTTTATTAAATTTAATCACTTAGTTGAACGCAATGATGCACAGACAAATACAGACATGGAGACACGGTACTATAATTTTTATATTTTAAAAATAATATATAAATATTGAAAAAGTATAATATGAAAAATAATAAGTCATTTAAGTAAAATTTGTGTTTAAAATGATTAATATTATGATGTTGAGAGTCGGGCGTCAATGTTTTATATCAAGCATCGAGAGAAAAGATAACAATATTGTTGAGAGTCAAGCATTGATGTTATGTAGTAAGTATTGGGCGTCAATGTCGAGAGGGATGCAGAGAGGGCGTCATCAATGTTAAGATGAGCTGTCAAATAGTAGGTGTAGAAATTGCTAGTGTCGAGCATCAATATCAAAACAATGTCCGATTTTGATGTTTAGATGATTTTGAAATGTCGATATTGTAAAGACATTAGACATCGATGTTGAAAAGACATTAGACATCGGGGCTTTATTGTGAAACCAAAGTTGTGCCCTGCCAAAAAGAAATTAAAATGAGAATATTTGATAAATGATATATTGAGTGCGGACAATTGATTTGAAGTTGTGTATATTAACTAACAAAAGTCTGGAAACTTCTAAAACCAAAAAAGTACAGCTAGCTATGACTCTATTTTCTATTATGTCTGTACATGTGTGCTTCTCTGCTCTTATTTTCTTGTATCAGTTGTCTATATATAGTTTCCTATATATAACTTTTGGATAATAAGAGTTATAGTTTATAGTTTCATTTCTTCTTGTTTCTACCATGCTTTACAAAGTGGTTTAACAGCCCTCATAAGTTAACATGGTATCAGAGTTGTGCAATTCCTGCAGCTAATTTTTTTTCTCTCTTGTCTTGTCTTTTCTCTTATTCCCTATCACATTTTTTCGACGCACGCATGGCCTCCTCTTCTACATCTTCCCCCACTGTGGAGTCCATGTCGTCTCTAACTCAGATCGCCATTCCTCCGCAACTCAAGTTCTTGATGAGCAATATCAAGAACTAAATTCCAACTTCTTTAACATAAGAGAACTATCCAATTTGGAGATCTCAGGTGGAAAAAGTGTTTAGTGCAAATGGCTTCAAAGGATTTTTGGATGACACGACCTCTTGCCCGACCTCCTCCAGTGAAAACTCTCCGTCCAATAATATCTATCTTCAAGCTATCTGGGTTCTCACTGACCAAAATCTTGTTGCAACCTTATATTTGGTAATTTCTCCAAATGTCTTATCGTATGTGCTGTCTTTAACACATCACTCTGAAATCTGGGCAACCTTAGCCCATCGACTTCAATCCACAACACCCTCTTGTGTCATACAGCTGAAAAATGATCTTTATCACTTGACCAAAGGAGATAAATCTATGACTATGTATCTCTTAGATATAAAATCTAAAGTAGATGCAATCGCAATGGAGGGTAGCAACATTGATCTAGAAGATGTGATATTGTACACCCTTAACAGGCTCCCTGCTTCATACCAAGCGTTCAAGACTACTATCAGGACAAATTTTTAACCACTTAGCTTGGATGACTACTACAGCTTATTATGCACAGAAGAACAAAACTTAATTCAAGAAGATACAAAAGATCTTCAAAATATAAAACTCTCTGATCATACAATGGCATTAATGGTGTCCCAAGGTCATGTTCGAGGTCGATTCAATAGCAATCGCGGACGTAGAAGTCGTGGATCATTACCATCACCTGCTCGTGGCAATAAAACTGCAAACAAAAATATAGTTTGTCAGATCTGCATGAAACCCGGACATTCGGTCATCCATTTTTGGCATTAAAATGATTTCACTTATGCAGATAGCTCACCAACATCTGCTCTATTTAGTACACCTGAAGCAAATCGTTAATCGAACTGGTACCTCGACATTGGTGGATCCACACATTTAATTGCATATTCAACTCAGCTAACATCAAATGATCCGTATACAGGGGTCATCCCAGGTGGTTCGTGGAAATGAGCAGCAACTTCCCATACAACACACTGGTAAAGGTATCCTTCCTACCCCTTTAGTTAACCTTGTTCTTCACAAAATACACCAAGTACCGAATATTTCCTTCAATCTTCTCTCGGTACATCAACTAACTTATGACAATAATTGCATTGTATCTTTCTCTTCAAATGGATATCAAATAAAGGATATGAAGACCAATTGGCTTCTTCTCCAAGGTTCTTGCCATAATGGGCTCTACTCGGTTCGATAAGCCAAGAAATCACCATATATTGCTCTTTTATCCATTCAGACCATACCGGACCTTTGGCACTCTCGACTAGGCCATTCAGTTATGTCTACACTACAACATCTCTCTCGGTTTCATTCTAGCATATGTACAACCTCACCTACTATGAGTTGTAATACTTATCATCTTGCCAAAAGCAAGTAATTACCTTTTCCTCCTACCACTAAAATTCCCTTTGAATTAGTTCACTTTGATGTATGGGTTTCTTCCACTTCTACTTCTATACAAGGTTATCAGTATTTTGTTATTTTTATTGATGACTTTACTAAATACTATTTGGTTTTTCCACTTTTACAAAAGTTTTAAGTAAAATATAAATTTTTTGCTTTCACAAAATGATCAAATGCCAATTCAATAGTAATCTATGAATCATTCGAACAGATGGTGGGGAATAATATTTAAACAATATTTTTTAGTAATATTATACTGATTGGGGCATTACTCATCAATATACATGCCCTTACACACTCGCTCAAAATGGTGTTACAAAATGAAAGAATCGTCATATTAATTTTCAAGAAAAAATATGAAGTCTCCTTATTCACTCTAATGCTCCTCCCACTATGAGTGTTGAAGCGTTACATACGGCCATTCATCTTATCAATCGTCTTCCCACTATCACTCTTCAATACAAAAATATGTTTGAAAAATTATATAACAAAGTACCAACACACACTCATCTAAAAACATTTGGATTCCTTTGTTATCCTTGGATGAGGCCGTATTCTAAATCCAAATTATCACATCTTTCCCTTCCCTGTTTTTTTATTGGATTTGCTCTCTGTCAAAAAGGATTTCACTTTCTTGACCATGCTACCTATCGGGTTTTCACCTCCAGGCATGTTATCTTTAATGAAAATACTTTTCCATCCAAGCATCAGCCTCTCCCAAATTGCAGTACCCGGTCTTCATCCTCTGCTTTCTCTGTTCCACTTCTTCTAGTTCCAACATCTACTCTACACCCTCCAACAACCCAACAAACCATTAATATACCAATTCCAACACCACATACTACATCCCCTACCACAAAAACATCTAGCCATACACCTCGGTTATCTTCTTGTGCTCCTAACCAACACTCTCCAATCCCTACCATAATGGCGCATCCCATGGAGACTCATTTCCAAACTGGACATCTTAAACCCAAACAAGTGTTTGATCTCACTCATCAACTCACTGATCAAGATCCTACCTTATATTCTCAAGCAGTTAAGCATGAACATTGGCGTATCCATTTCCCAAGAGTTTCAAGCATTACAATCACAATGCACATGGGATCTTGTTCCTCTGTTGCCAAATCAAAATATATTAGGATGCAAATGGATGTTCTGCACAAAATACAATTATGATGGTATGATAGCTCGATATAAGGCTAAATTGGTAACACTTGGTTACAATCAAGAATTTGGAGTAGACTACACATAAATGTTTAGTCCATTAGTCAAAATACCTCCTTGCACTACATCAAAAGTGGTCAATACATCAACTAGATGTATCAAATGTGTTTCTACATGAACCGTTAACAGAGATAGTCTACATGAAATAGCCACCAGGTTTCTCCGATGTGAATTATCCTGCACATATCTGCAAACTACATAAAGCTTTGTATGGCCTCAAGCAAGCTTCACATCAATGGTTTAAGACGCTAACTAGATTTCTTCATCAACTTGAGTTTATAACAAGTCACTCTGATCCTTGCTATTATATCGAAAAAATGGCTCCATTATGTATGACTTAATTTTTATAGATGCATTATCTTAACCGGAAATAATGCCTCCTCAATTAACCAACTTCTTCAGCACCTAAATCACCGCTTTAAAATGAGAAATCTAGGTATAATCACCCAATTCCTTGGCATAATAGTTGAATCAACACCTACCGGACTACTACTACAACAAACTAGGCATGTTGAAGACATATTAGCCAGGGCAGGCATGACAAACAACAAACCTATCACCACACCAAGTAAAATCAAGGCTACTCCTCCGACTCAATCGCCATTGTTCACTAATCCTAAACTGTACAGACAACTGGTAGGAGCTTTGCAATATTTAACTCTCACGCGTCCAAATATTACCTATATTGTTAACAAAGCATGTCAGTACATGCATCAACCAACTGAGTTCAACTTTGAAGCTCTCAAATGCATCCTCAGATATATTCGTGGAACCATACATTATGGATTACATATTACTAGCAATTTCTTGACTCTACAATCTTATGCTGATTCAGATTGGGCAAGTGATCAGCAATATCGTAAATCCACAATGGGATATTGCAACTTTTTAGGCACAACACTAATATCATTGAGTGTCAAGTAGGGGTGCAAACTAGTCGAGTCGAGCTCAAATCAGGGGGTGTTCGAGTCGAGCTCGACTGCCAAATATCGAGCTCCAGCTCGAGCTCGACTCGTCTCACGAAACGAGTCGAGTCGAGCA